TATATATATATATATATATATTATATATATATTGCGTATAAAAAATGGACTCTTACAAAATCTCAAACATTTAAAAATTAATAATACTATATATGAATCTGAAGAGAGATATGAAAAATGAAGAAATCTTTTCCTTTAACTATTCCTCAATCTTTTCAATTTGTGCTTTCCTCTTTTATTCTTCTTTTCCTTCTTCTTTATAACAACGTCTATAAAAATTAATAATTAAATTATTTCAAATCTTTCTATTTCCTAATATTTCTTTAAGTGTTATCTCATTGCTCTTTCCCTATCTATTATAAATACAAATTAATAACACTATTTTGTCTTCTTCGAGATCAATTTATAAAAATAGAAAAAGTAATAAATCTTAAGTTTATCAATTAAAAATCAAAGATATAAATATTTTTAAATAATAAATTTTAATCGATAAATTCAACACTTACCGATGATAAATTTATTACTTACCGGCGACCGGCTTGACGAGCTCCTCCTCGGTGTCGGTTTGTATATGTTTAACCATAACAATGCCGCCGATCTGAATATCCTTAACGGGAACGTAAGGACTGCCCTCCAACAACTGGATGACCTTCAATTGCTGACGCAGGACCCGCGCGGGATTCTGAAGGATCTCGACCATATCGAAGTTGGGTTCGGGTTCCTTCTTTTCCTTCTCGTCGTCTTTACTTCCTTTCTTCTCCGCCTTCTCCTTGGACTCCTTAGCTTCCTTCTCGTCCCTCTTCTTGTCATCCTTCTCCTTCGAAGACGACGCGGCTTCTTTCACCTCGTGAAGCTCCTTCGTTTCCGAAGGCGGATCCTGCAATATGTTTTTAGATTTTCCCTCGTCGCTAGTCAGCAATCCATTATCCTGTCCTTTTCGCGTATTTGCCATGCAAATCACCGCGTTTACCGCCGAGTTTCAAAATAGGAAGTAATGGATTATCGACGTTTCGAAAAGGAATTGGTTCTTTAACAGGAAGAGGATTCCGTTCTTGCAAAGGACTTCATTCTTGTTTGTCGAAGTTGGATCTTCTAACTTGAGGCTCGATATATTTAAGGGATAAAAATATGCTCAACGCATATATATATCACAAACATCCGAAGATATATAAAAATAATACTACTAATGAATTAATTCGATTACAAAAACTTCTGCGCATAAAAATTTCACGAGCACGAAACAAGAAAATCGTACGATTCAATATTCGAGAATTTAAAAAAATTTCAGAATATATATCTTTTGAAATTCATGATTTTAAAAGTTCATGAATTAACAGATGAAAACTTGCAAGATAAAAAATACAAGAATTCAAATGATCAAAAATAATGTAAACATTAAAACACAAAAACTCAAGTAAAAATTTAAAATATCAGAAAACGTGAAATTCAAGAAATTAAGGATTCGAAAATTTATGAATCTAGAAATAGATTTTAAAAATTCGCAGAATCTAAAATAGCTCTAAAACTGACAAAATTGAAAAATTCAGAATTTAAGAAATCCATAAAGATCCTAAGAGATTCATAGATTCTTAACACATTTCAAAAATGCAATTGACTCACTATTATTTGTATCAAGATTTGATCTTCATCAAGTTCTTAAGATACTCATTTTAAAATTTTACCATGAGCATATTTAAAAAAAAAAATATAGTCACGATAAACAGAAAAAATAGCAGGAATATTTTTTTCTCCCTTATAACAAATTTCATTATTTTTTATATTGATCTATAATATCGATCAAATGTTAATTATCGAAAGATAATATAAACAAAAGAGCTTTTCAAGAGAGCTAAGCTATCGTTTGACGATAGATCCTAGAATGTTATTTCACGCTCGCAAAAAGGACTTCGTCGCCAAGGGCTCTTTTTAGAAAATCTTCGCGATTATTCTCGCTATTTTTCCTCCATTAAAAATGCAATCCAACTGACATTTCGGTGACATTTTTATTAACTTACCACGTCCATCTTCTCGTGTGAATCTCTGGCCTTTCTCTCGGATTCGCGTCTCTTGGCGCGAGCCGCGATGCTGAGGACGGCGGTGGTAACCTTCTCTCGTTCTTCCCTCTTCTTCTCCTCAAGGGGTGCGGGATAAGCATACATGCTCGGCTTAGCGTCTGACTTGATCTTCAGCTTGGGCATCTTCAATTGAGCATTGAGAGCGATCAAGCATGTGGGCGTGAATGCCAGGGCCAGACAATGTGCCAGAGGGAACCAGTACCAATACTGAGTGAACACTAAAGCGCCAACTACAGCCAGCATATTCGTATGTCCTGTCCGTGATTGTAACGATACAGTCACGTTACGACCACCTAAAAAAAAGCAAATGTTTCTTCGTAACCGCAAATGCTTTCTTGCATGCTTGCTTGCTTTTATAAAATCGAAATTTTAACTAATGATAAATATAATAATTAACTTTATATTAATAGTACATTTTAAATATTGTTTTATTTCGTAAATTTGTTCAAAACATTCAAGATACAAGAGAAATTAGATATTTATGCTCATAGAGAAAAAAATTGAAAAACCAAATAAAAATTCAAAAATTTTAGAATTTAAAAATGCATGAAAATTTAAATTTAAAGAAATCAAGATTCCCAAAAAAACCAAGCTATTTTTATGCAAATAGGCTTTAAGAATTTTTTAAATATTTTACATACATAAAATTTTAAAATTATACGAAAGAATAAAAAAATCGAAGGTTCAATAAAATCAGAATTCTCATTCTAAGTCTTCAATTCCGATTCATCTAAAATCCTTGTACTAAATTGTAATTTTTCGTCCTATTAAGGATGACTGAAGCAATTTTAATTTTCTAAGAAGTTCAAGTCGATCGAAGAATACACGATTAAAATCAAAACAACGGATTACATCAAGGGCAAAAAATTCTAAAAGGATGCGGACTCACCGGCATCGATGATTCCTTGCGCCAAAATGGCGCCGAACTTGGCCATCACGTCCTCGTGCTTGTCCACGATGACCTTAGCATATAAAGCTCTGAAATCCTTGACGCGAGGACACGTCGACTCCGTCTGCTGGATCAGGATCATGGCGGAGGCGATCAATGCGCCCTGCCTGACAAAGTTCACGGGATCGTTGGTCATCGGGTCCAGCAAAGCGATAGCTTCCTTTAGACCGGTACCCGCGCAGGCGATTCCCAACGCCATTGCTGCCCCATATCTCACGTGAGGATTGTAACTTTCCGCCAAAAGGGACACCACACTAGGACACTGTTCCGGAGTCCTGAAATATGCCAGCAAATCGTACTTTTAATTTGTATTTTATTCACATTGTGATTTAAATCAATATTAAATATTGAATAATTTTTGGGTAAATTTTTTTGTAAATGTATTTTTTGTTATTTCTTATGTAAAAATGACCAATGAATGAGAAGGAATTCTCTCTAATTCTATCTAACCCTTTTTGTTTTGCTCTAAATAAATTTAAAATTTATATATGATATTTTATCTTGAATTTTAAAAAGTTAAGAAGAAAAAATAAAGCGAATCCCTAGATATAAATGCACATATATTGATAATAATTACGTATAATAAATAAAAGTTCACATCATATCGTGTATCGAGCTAAATTTTGGGATCTCCTCTTCGATAGAATATAATAATATAAAATCGTAAATTAATGCAAATGTTTGGTATCGATAAAACAAAAAAATACACTCCAATATAATAAAAAATAATTCTTAATAAAGTAAAAATAATTCCCAAAAATACGTGTATCGAGCTAAATTTTGGGATCTCCTCTTCGATAGAATATAATAATATAAAATCGTAAATTAATGCAAATGTTTGATATCAAAAAAACAAAAAATCACTCTAATATAATAAAAAATAATTCTTAATAAAGTAAAAATAATTCCTAAAAATACCTTTGATAATTAGGAATTCGAAAATAGAGCAAATAAACTAACTAAGGGCGAGGAAAATTAATGATCCTTTACATATAAAGGACTTTTGATCATTTATTTTCCTCGCCCTTTAGTGAATTTGTTCTAGCTTCGGATATCTTGCTGTGAACTTTTGACACTACTTCCTTGTCTCCATCGAAATAGTGCGGTATAATGTGAACCGGGGGTATTACTTGCAACATTTTCTTGGAGGAATATATTGTTGGAATTTATTATTACGAACTGGTTGTGAACTGTCACTGCACGGATGAAGAACGAGTGTTTGAGTTCTGGTAAAGTTTATAGCTTTGCATATACGTCGACATTTGCATACTGTCGCACTCAGTGGATCTCTCATTCCCTTTTATTAACGAGTTATTTTTATTTATTAACAATATTTTTAAGAATTTATTATTATTTTTATTTCTATCGAGAATATTTATTATTATTTTTATTTCTATCGAGATACGTTTTATATTTTCTTTACTTTATTTTTTTATTATTAAGATATTATTATTCAAAGTTGAAATCAAAACAGATAGTGAATCTTTATTTATATGTAATTATTATCAACATGCAACTTTACTCTGCTTTACCTTTCTCTTAGTTTTATTTTTATTTATTTTATTTTGATAGATATTCCTGTGTGTATAAAATATAAAAAATAATAAAATATATATAAAATAATGTTTTCCCATGTTGTTAAAAAAACAATCAAAATTTATATTTAATTGATTATCATTCATAGAATTCATGAATAGAATTACTTTATAATCATAAATCAAATATAACTAATTATTAAATGTACAGCAATCTCAACTTTTTTTAGATTAGAAAGAAAAAACTTTCTGTCATCATCGGAAAGACCATTAATCATAAATTTAACCCACGCGAACCTCTCTATTAATTTTTTGTAAATATGACATGCTACGTTTAGAAGGCTTAAAAGTTAATTAATGTAATAATTAATTATTACACATATTACATATGATATATAATTAATTTAATAATATATCCGAGAGATAAAATACACATTTAGCAAATTCATACGCAAGTTAATGTATATTAATTATGGAACGCATTTTCTCGTCCTGTTTCAGGAGGATGATTCGGTGTTGGTGGACGGTGCCTGTCAGATTCCCGATCCCCTTTACAAATTAATCGGTAGCATAATCTGCTTCTACATCCCACTGGGCGTGATGCTATTAACGTATGCATTGACGGTGAGATTACTAGCGGAGCAACAGCAGAACATCGGTGGAAAAGGAGCAGGTTGGTCATCAGGATGGTTGGGTGCACCTCAGGGTGCACCTCAAGGTGCATCTCCCGCGACAGGTTCGTGTATTTTCACGTACACTAGCCTGTTTCTCCATTCTCCACGAAATTCCAAAATCGCTTCTGAATCGCTCTTTCATACATCTAATCTATTCTACGTTTCTCGAGACCGCATTTCACTCCATTTTTATTTCGAAAATATAATTCAATCTTTTTTTTTATCTTTTTTTGATTTAATTCGATCTCCTACATTATTTAAAAAAATCAAAATTTAATCGAAAATTGTATATTTCAAGATATTAACGTTTGAATATCTTAAATATTTATACGGAGATACATTAAAATTTGAAAACTTCGCGATAATATGTCTCAAGAATCTTCAATCCTCCAAATTCTTTTATAGTATTTTTACGCTTCTCGAGCCCGCATTTCACTTCATTTTTATTTCGAAAATATAATTCAATCTTTTTTTTTATCTTTTTTGATTTAATTCGATCTCCTACATTATTTAAAAAAATCAAAATTTAATCGAAAATTGTATATTTCAAGACATTAACGCTTGAATATCTTAAATATTTATACGAAGATACATTAAAATTTGAAAACTTCGCAATAATATATCTCAAGAATCTTCAATCCTCCGAATTCTTTTATAGTATTTTTCTCGGTGAAGAATTCTGGTGCTTCAGCGGAGAAAAATCGCGATCTCTTGGGATTTTTAAATTAAATAACAAATGGTTAAAAAATATTTTTCCTTTTCACCTACCCTCTTATCATTCCATGAGCATCCACTTTTATCCGCTTTTTTTCTCGCCCGTTTGGCAACGATAAAAAATTAAAAAATTGTTTCGCCTCTAGAAATGTTGTTTATACCAATTTATCAATTTTTCGCCCATTTTTCCCTCGTGCACACACAAACACACACACACACATAAAATTGCATCCAATGCAACAGAAGAAAAAAATTTAAATATAAAACTGGAAAATAAAACAGAGATCTTGATAGAAGATGTCAATACACAGCGAGATACATCCCTCTCGTTGTCAATTTTCTATTTTATTCCTTGTGCATTCTTCATCGAGCGAGTCTTCCGCGCGACAATATTTTCCGGTTTTCCCCGGGGGCACGCGATATATATAGCTCAAAATGCGAAAATGAGCGACGCAGAGACAGCTGCACGCGATTTAGTCCCTCTCTCTTTTTTTTTCACGTCCGATAAAAATTATTTATTCCGATTTATCGGGAGCCCGCAGCTTCAAAGGGAAGCGCGTTACGGGCTTCGCTCTCTCATAAACGGTTCCCGGGGATGCCGGCGCAAATTCGTCCTCCTTAACAAAGCGTTCTCGAGGGAGAAAGCCTTCCTTCGCTCTCTCTCTCTCTCTCTCTCTCCGATCCACTCTCAGCGAATTTCGCCGGAAGCCATCGCGTCTACTGTCGCTTTGATTTTACCCCGGCAAATCTCCGATTACCGCGCAACAAACGGAATTTGCATACCAACTTCACGCCAGAATGCGTCGCGCCATTTTATCCGGCGCATCGCGCAATTATTGCGCTATAAAGCGCGTTCTCGATTAGGTGGGTCCTGTCCATTGTAAATTTCGAAATAGGAAAAGTCGCGCGATATTCTTACAATTATGAAGAGAACTAAAAAAAAACGCCATGAATAAGGGCGGATTGCTCTTGAAATCCTTCCCCGAAAGGCTCATCAAAGGCCCGACTCTCGAGGCGACCTTCTGTCGGGATAAAGGAAACTTGCTAATTATGTTGAATTACACAGGCCTGCGAAAAAGGGGGTTAAAATTTCTTTTTAAGATGCAATAGTGATTTTTGACGCTTTTAATTTTGTGCGCTGAATCCGAATCTGGCCGCCGAATTTGCGTAGCACGTCAGGTTTTTGAGTTATTTGTAGTTGAATAGCCCAAAAATCGCTATTTTGGCCAATTTCATGAATTTATTGGGAGGAAACCAAATTTTTTGAAATATTTCTGTCAATGGCATCGTATAGTACTCACCTTCATCTTTCGAATCCACTTTCGATTACCGCCGCATGATTTTTTTTCGCTCAGATATACAAGTCATAAGACTGGTCATGCATAGGGATCTAATAAGCCATTCTAAACCAACCGTGCCACCTCTTTATTTCACTACGAATCAAAATTAGAATAAAAATATACATTTTTAAACCTTCTGTTACCTTTTGAAATTAAAAATGGCGCATCTAATGCCGAATAGAATCACAATAAAAAGGCATAAAATTTAGAAAAATTTATCGAAATGTGTAACAACTGTATTAGATATTTCTTTACAATACTTTTTTGGACAACCGAACCTGACATATGTCAATCTTTTCAACTTTTAACATCATGGATCTACCATATTGATGTCTATATACATTTTCTTTAACGTAAATTTTCTTACATCGTCATACTTATATATCGCAGCGAAGAAAAATCGTGCGGCGGTAATCGAAAGTGGATTTGAAAGGCGAAAGTGAGTATTATACGATGCCATTGGCAGAAATATTTCAAAAAATTTGGTTTCCTCGCAATAAATTCATAAAATTGGCCAAAATAGCGATTTTTGAGCCATTCAATTACAAATTACTCAAAAACGTGACGTGCTACGCAAATTCGGCAGCCAGATTCGAATTCAGCTCACAAAATTACGTCGGAAATCACTATTGCATCTTAAAAAAAAAAAACCTCGCAGGTCTGTGTTATTTCTCCCGTCCATATTCGCGAATCTCCGTCGTGTGCAACTAGCCATTATCGCATAAATAATTCGGCGCGCAATATCGAGGATGCGAGGTCGGTCACCATGATTAATGGCGTCGTCGCCATTTTTTTTTCTCTCTTTTTTTTCTCCCGCGAAAGATCGATCCTGAGGTAAGCGGGCCTCTGTCTAGGAGCGCTCCCCGACAAGAAATTTCGCCAGCACGACAGCGGAAGCCCGATCCGACGTCCACGATGAAGGTATGCAAATGTCGGGCATTATGCAAAGAGCTTCGGATGCGACACGGTATGCCAAGAAAGTCTGGCGTCCGGCCGATGCGAAAATTAATCGATAGTCGGACGGTGAGCGAGAGCGCGATTTTTACCGGGCACTTAATATTCCGCAGGATTGAAAGATTGCAGGACACGGAGCGGAGATCCTTTGAGTGTCTCGTTACAAGCCGGGGCTTATATCGGCGAACGCTTAAGAATTCCAATAATTTGAGAGGAGGGAGCAGAAAATTTTCAAGGAATTAGATTGTTTCTGAGCTGTGTAAAATGATAAAGTGAGAGATAAATCGTTCGCGCAGCTATTCGTAAATATTTCTAAAGGGGATCTCCGAGTCAAGATCAATATTTGTCTCGAACATTGGCAATCCCCTCATTCGGAGATTGCAAAATGCTTGACGCAAGAAGCTCCCTCGAATTTTTTAGAAAGATTTAAAATAAAGAAGAAACTAAAATTTATATTTGATCAAAAAAATAAGAGCGTATTTCCTCGAAATCAATAAAATCGCACCTTCTTTAATAAAAAAAAAATCAATAATAATAAGAATAATAATATAAATAATTAATATAATTATTAATATATAATATTTAATATAATAATAAGAATCCTCGTTTTCTCTTCAAAAAAAAAAGGAGAAAATTTTCAATAAATCTAACATCTCTGGTGCCCTCCACAATTTGCAGGACTCGATCGACGGGGCACCTGGAAGAGGTACCTCCTGAATAAGAGCTCGGGCGGAAGCGGCGGCACGCCGCAGCACACTTCCGGTACGTCGACCGACACGGAACTGACCACCCTCGACACCCACGAGCTCTGGCTGCCGGAAAGCGAGCCGCCACCCTCGGCCATGTCCGCCCTTCACGCCTTCGGCGCGGAGATGCTCAAGCTGTCTAGGGGTCTCGAGGGTATGGCCGGCAGCCCCGGCAGTCAAACCCCCTCGAGATTGACACCCCAGCATCAGCAGCAGCAGCAGCAGCAGCAACAGCAGCAGCAACAGCTACTGCAGCTGCAGCAACACGGTCCTTCGCCGCGCAGATGCAGCTTTCGCAACGGGTATGATATGTGTTTGCGAATCGCATTCATATCCTATCACTGGATGTTTTGTCATTTATCATAATATGTCATTTGTAGATTTGTTGATATAATATGAAAAATATATATAATTTCGTATAGATATAATGAATAATGAATAATGAATATTCTGAATAAATTAAGGACAATCAGTATTAATAAATATATAAATTAGATAATTATAAGTATAAAGGTTGGGGAAAAATTCAAAAAACGGATTACACAATAATAAGAAATAAAATGTAAAAATTCCGATTTACATTTCTATAGTTTTCACTTGTGAAAAAAATATCTCTCGTCAAATATCTCTTTCCTTTTAAGAAAATTTTCTTTTAGAAAATTTACTAAAAATATAAAGGTATTTTTAAAAAAACGGATTATACAATAATGAAAAATAAAAAATATCTCTCGTAAAAAAATATCTCTCGTAAAAAAATATCTCTTTCTTTTTGAGAAAATTTTTTTTTAGAAAATTTACTAAACAAATAAAGATATTTTTCAAAAAACGGATTAAACAACAAAAAAAAATAAAATGTAAAAATTCCGATTTACATTTCTATAATTTTCACTTGTGAAAAAAATATCTCTCGTAAAATATCTCTTTCCTTTTAAGAAAATTTTCTTTTGGAGAATTTACTAAAAAAATAAAGGTATTTTTTTTCTCCGTTTCTTTTGAATCCTTGTTATCTTTTATACCAACAAATCGTTATTTTCTCTATAATACTGTAGTACTAGTATATTATTTTATGCAAAACGCGACGATTTATTTCCCGGCGCAATTTTGCAAAGAGGGAATTCCTGAGCTCGTCTAGATTTTCGCGGCGGAAGCTTTCGCAATTATTAACGACGTATCCATCGTGTCGTAATCCGGGGGCTCTCAAAACACGCCATTGTGCCTGACGGCGGCGCGTTTCCGTGCGGCAAATACGACAGCGCGAATTTACGTCATTTTGTCACTCCGACTCGCACAACACGGTAACTATCGCAAGACGCGGTTAGCCTCGCGTCAAGTCAACTCACATGGCAGCCGAGGAGTGTTTCTCCATGAATTTATGTCACCCTATATATACTCGGGACTCACGCACGCGAACAATTTACGCGAAAAATTGCCCCATTATATTCTCCGTATTCTTGCTCGTCCAGTCTAAATCCACGACGTTAAATCAATATTCGTCCCTCAATATTTCACCCCGAGTCTCGCGATGTGGCCATTGAAAATATCCTGAAAAAATATCTTCGCCAAGTTCCCTAAAAGCGTAACACGTTGCTTCGTGGATTTCTCTTCGATATCTCTATTAATAACATTCCAGAGGATAGTATTTTTCAAAGGATTTCCAAGACACGCTGGACGGCTTTCAGAGAATCTTGAAATCCAATATTTGTCACTACGAGCGTAAATTTATTGCTTTATTTTATTAAAATATTTCGCTTAATATTATCGTATCAAAAAATATTTATAAAATAAGTTCGATATTTAAATTTTGAGAGGTCCTTTAATTTTTCGTCTAAGAATTTTTTAAAAGTATAATCAATTCTATAAGAGTTATATATATCAACTGAACGAGATAAATTTCATATTCATCCGAGAGATCTGAAATATATTCCTCCGAATATTCTTACACAGGATCATCGCCCATACTTCTTGAAGGAATCGAAAATAAGTTGCGAGGGAGGGGGAGGGGGTGGAATCATATTTGATGTCGTTTAGAGCTTCCAGCGTCTGAGTCGATCGACGGCAAGTGAAACGAGGATAGAAATATTAAAAGACTCCATCGTTCTGCGAGTAAAATACATTTCGATCACCGATTCGCGATCTTGCATCTTCAATTTTTCGCGTTCTCTCTGATCCTGCATATCCTTTAAAAGGTATGTTTAAAAAGTGCGAATCTTTCGAAAGATCCGAAATGATAATCGAAGAACTTTGAAAAAATAAAATTCGAGAATAACAATCCTTGAATATACCTTGAAATCCTAGAAATATTTTCGGCAAAGATCCCAAAATCCCTCTAGAGAATAGCAAAACACAAGGATTTTAAGGTGTATACTCAAATCTTGTAATAAATTCCCTGAGGATTCCGTGATTTTTGTTCGAAATTCCAAGAATTAAAGAATCTTTAAATGTAATTTTAAGTTTATTGCGTGTGATTTTTTATCATAAAGGAAATATATTTTAATATATTTTAAATCTCTAAAAAATTTCATACTTTGTATAAATGTATTAAAATGAATATTTACATATATTTTAAATAAAATTAAAATTTAGATTTTAAAATACTAACATTTGATAAATAATCACGAAAAATTTCAACAGCACACAACAAAATATTATCCAAAAGAAATATAAAATTATCGAGAAATATTGTGTGTAGACATGTTGTATTTTTTTAATATAAAAGAATATGCGTGTATACAAAACATGTTGTGTTATTTAAATATAAAAAAATATTCAATATAAAATAATACAAAAGATAAAACTGCATGAGCTAAAATAATACAAGAAATGTCGGTAAAAAAAATATAAAACTAGATAAAATTTTAAAATTTGAATATTACAAAAGAATAGATTTCTTTCGTTCTTAAATTTCTAAAAGCACATTCTTCAAAGATCCAAAATAAAGGCTTAGGTTATAAACGTAATGATTAAAATTATCATTATTTTTTAAAAAAATTTCCCGAATTCCAATAAAATTCCACGAAAATTCCCTGACTTTTCAGATCAAAAAATCCTGAGAATAACAGGTTTTTCAAGGCTTCTTCTTGGAATATACACCCTGTTTAAGGAATGCAGTGAAAATCCTCAAGGGAGAAACGCGACTCGGAGAACGTTGGATGCGAGAAGAACGCGAGTGGCTGGAAGAATTTCGCGACAAGTGGAGTCGCGTATCGTGTGCGATCGGATATTGTAGAAAGAGGAGAAAATCTCAAAGTAAATTGGCGCAATCGTTAAATCGCAATCTTTGAGAAGCTTCTTTCGTTATTCCCGGCCGTTAATCGACGTATTAATAACGATATCTGGAAAGAGAATGAAATTCTTTGATCTTAATGACAGATTCGAGGCGGGAGAGACCGGAACAAATGACCTGAAAAATCGCGAAAATCGCCAAATAGCGGAATCAATCTCTTCCGAAGAAGCAGAAAAATTTAATTTTAAATCACGTTCAATAATTTCTATATTTTTTTATTATTCATTATTTAATTTCGCGATAATCCTTGTTTTATAAACACCGCAATGTTGTCGATCTACTCGACAAAAACGAGCAAACTAAAATTGTTTATACCGGGAATAAAAATTATGCTCGATTTTCCCTCTCTCTCACGCAACTTTTCAAGCTCTCGACGACGACTGGACCTTTCGAAAATTTTCTTTTCCCCAGTCACCAGGGAAAACACAAAAAATAGATGCGTTAGAAGGGTCACGTCGGGGAAACCCATTTATACACGGTGGCCTCAAAGTGGATTGCACTTAGCTGTCGACATTCAAAGTGCAAAACCAGAGTCAACTCCTCGGTAGAGGAGTACGAAAAGGGCGAGCAAAGGGAGAGGGTAAGGGGGGGGTAGAAGGGGTGAGTCGCGTTCAGTCGTGGTCGTGTACTTAAGCAAACTGCTCTTGCCGTCCACTTCCCACTCGCGTGCGCCTCTAATAAAGGAATGCACTTAGAATCGTGCGCCTCTGGACGCATCAAACGAAGATTACCTCTTTATTGAGCGCAGGAGGACTTCGCCTTTTGCGGCGTCAAGTCACTTCCTGCTGATTTCTCGAATCAAATAAACGAGAAGCGTTTCCCGAGACTTCTCTCGGAATGTTTCTTTCCCTCTTTTCCTCTCAATTGTGTATAATAATTATTTATTCGATTATAAATTAGATTATGTAAATATAATTATAAATTAGATTATTATTTTATGATTTTATTTTATTTTATTTTAAAATTTTATTTAGAGTCACTCCTTTTTTGTCGCAAGATTTCGAATCGAATTTTCCTCAACAAAACGATAAATCGCGATAAATCAAAATTTTTATTAGATTTTCATTTTTTTTATCTAATTCTAATTCTTTCCGATTTCTATTCTTATCTTTGTAATAAATAAAACTTAAAACTAACTTGAAATGAATTTTAAAAAAGAAAGGATAAATAATAATTCATGTGAAATGTAAAAAAATTTTAATCTGAAATTATTTCAATTTGAATTTGAATTTAAATTAAATTTTAATCTGGATAAATTAATATACCAATTGTAAAATAACTTAATATAAATTTTAATGAGAATTTATTGTAAAATAAAAATATAAGAATTTTTCCAATAAAAATGTTTCTAATGAAAATTTCTTATGATCCAATATTATAATATCGTGACAACGTAAATCAAATAAAATTCTCGATTCGAGATCAGATCAACCCCTTCCTTCTCGACTCCTCCGAGTTTATCTCAGTCAATATTTTTCTCAATTTACCGTCAAAACCGCGGTCGTAATCCACTCCAAGAGGGACAATCGGGCCGTTTCTCTTCCTTCGGAAGGAGCATCCTCAATTATCCCCGAAAAATCCCGTCGACGCGCTGATAAAATTGTCAACCCTCAGCAAACCGATAACACTTCGAAGAGGCGAAAGAATAAAAGAGCAAAGGTACTCAATTATTTCAATTTTCAAAGACCGATCAAGCTTCTGAAAAATTATTGCTTTCAGCTTAGCTCAAGTTTTCTTTGAAAAGAAAATTTTTCTCCGAAATTTCACATCATTATACTGATTCTTTTTCGCTGAAAACTGCATCTTTATTGCATTATATTCAATTTCTCTCCATTATTATCTTATTCTTCTTATAAAATCTTCACATTTTTACCTTATTACTTTAATTTCTTTCGCATTACTACTGTAATTTTTGTCCTGAAATTCGTTCTTTAATATTATTCCCGTCATCACTTTCAATTTGTCCCTTCGCTATCTGAGATCTCAGTTTTATTACCCGACATTCGTTCGCCTCGCAATTCAAAGTCACGGGTTTATTCGCGAATTGAGTGTCCGACGCGAGAAAATAGCGGACATGTGGCCCGGATAAGATCGATAACAGGCCGATAACGGTGATGTAGCGAATCCTGCAGCCGTCAAAAGTGTCGCGGGTGCAGGACACACATCTCGCAACTTGTCTGTAATTCGCAGCGACGGCAGCGATTTTTTTTTCCACGGGTCTCGCACACAACTAACTCCATCCAATCTCGCGATCAATTACTCACCCCGTCGAAAAATGGGACGCGATCGCATTTTTCTTCTCTTTTCCCCTTTTTTTTCCGCAACCCTTTTTTTCCCCCCCACCCTCTTTTTCTCTCTTAAATTGTATCATCGATCGTATTGAGTGATAAAGGGAACTGCGTTCATGTGGAACAATACAAGTATATGAATCTAAGTATGTTTTGTGACGGCGATATTTGTAGATTCCCTTTGAAGTCGGCTCGCGCGAGAGAGAAATATCCAAATATTTTCAGTCCTCGATGGGCTTTAAACGAGCTCGAGCAATAAGAGGATTATCCCATGCCAAATAATAAAGGACTCGTCGAATGAATCTCTCGCGTTGAAACGTTCGAGTTGTTTCAATTTACCATATGCAGGATTATTTTCGACTCGATTGCGATTGATAAGGAAAGTCTTTTGCCGCGCGTCAAGCTCTTCAGGTATTCCCTTTTGGTTTCGATTTATAACAGCAGAGAAATTATTCAGAGCAGGACGGAGAGAAAGGGAACATGACGAAATTCGAGAATTTATCCCGCAATTTATTTTTTTATCAGACTGCATAACTGCGTATAAATTATTTCAAACTCGATTACAATCGATAACGGAAATTTTGTCACGCGTGAAAATTTCTGAATATTTTTCTCTTACACTCTCGTAGCAAATAACAGAAGGAACTGTCAAGCGTGAAATAATAATAGTTTGTAAATAAATGATTTTTCGAAAAAAAAAGGCAAATTTAACTTAATTAATTAAATAATTATCAAACTTAATTAATTAAATAATTATCAAGCTTCTACATTTAATTTCAATAAATCTAAAAAAAGTCGCGCGAGCATAAAATACAAATTTTTCATACACTTTATCGAATACTGAATATATAATACACGTATATGAATATTAATTGTATTATTTTCTAGACCGAAAACCATATCTGTTATTGTAAGCTTATGCTGTTTATAATCCTACAACCGATATTATTTATCTTGCAACAAGCAATTATTATTATCGTGCATTATTGTAAATAACTAATATTATAAATAATAATTAAAAATATTATACGAAATGGAATTATTAGAAATAATTTAATATTTAAAACTTTATTAATAATCTTGACACTAAAATAAGTTAATAACCCTTTTTATAATAATATATTACGTTAAAAAAATTAATAATAATCATCACTATATTAATACATAAAAAAATGATTATTTGTTTCCAGGAGCGTGGAAAGTACCGAGAGCAGTATGTCCTGCTCGAGGACGAGCCTATCGGCGCAGGAGGACTTGGCGAGTCCTTGGAAGCACCGGAGACGAGCATCGACCTACAACGAGGCCCATCTACAGAGGACGATCCAGGCCCTGGGCTCGCCGAAGGCACCTAGGAAGAGGTCCTTCAGCTTCCACGAGGAATCATCCTGTCGCAAGAACGAGGACGACTCGATTCGACTTGGCCGAAAGTATCACGACAAAACGTCGGACGGGCCGATGACGCTACCACCACCCTGCACGTGCCCCTACTTCGGGGAATCGTCCAAGAAGCTGCTGCCCTCGAGCGAGATCGTCATCGTCTCGAGCGACACGATGAAGCCTATGGGGAACAGAGACCTGGAGATGGGCAACAAGGGTTTACCGAGCGATCAGGAGAGGCCTATCGGCGGTAACAGGACTCCGGAGATGGGCCTAGGTAGAAACAACAGCGCCAGATGTACCGAGGGTGTCAAGAATTACGAGCAACTGACCCTCGCGAATTCCGTGGTCACCTGGCGAGGCGGAAGGCGAGGCTCCAGCTTAGGTAAGCGTGCCGATAAGCGATGGCGATGACGTAAACAACAACGCGAGCTTTCGATTAGCTCCTCGATAATTGCCTTCGGGAAACTCCACTCCCAGCTATCGCGTGCCGCCAACGTTCCGCTAAAAATTGCGGAAACGAGAGAGAAAGAAGGGAGGGGGAAGGGCGAGAGGGTGGGAGGGTGCAAGCGGAAAGGTTGCGCGGACTTCTCCGATCTCTCGTTTCGATCACTCCGCTTTTTACGACCCGGGGAAAATGGAGAGATCCGTTCGAGGAGAACGTGATTCATGGTCATTCACGGAAGGCTTGCGATCGTTGCCTTGCGACGATCGCCCAGGATTTTCGCACGACTGATTGAGAAGATTTAAGACTCTAAAAAATGGCGACTTCGCGGATCTTAAAGATCTTTAAGAAAAACGGATATTGAAGAGAACCTTTGAAGTTTCTCGTCGGAAAATTATTGAATTCTTTGGATTTTTCTATCGAAAAATTAAGATTCCTAAATTATTTGTTCAATTGTTAAATTAATAGGTTTTTTAATTGAAAGACAAAATTCAATGCTTTTCTTATCATTTCTGGCTAATTTAAAATTGCATAAAAATTATTTTTAAATGTTTTTGATGTCTAAATTATTAGACGCTTTTATTTGGATATTATTATGTTGCTATTAAATCTTGTGATCAAATTAAAGTTTCTTATCAAATTACGATTGATTGAGAAGATTTAAAACTCTAAAAAAGGCGACTTCGCGGATCTTAATGGTCTTTAAAAAAACGGAGATTAAAGAGAGCCTTTGAGAGCCTTTGAGAGCGTTTCTCGTCTGAAAATTATTGAATTCTTTGAATTTTTATATCCAAAAATTAAGATTCCTAAGTTATTTGTTCAATTGTTAAATTAATAGGCTTTTTAATTCAAAGACAAAATTCAATGCTTAGCTTCTTTTCTTATCATTTCTGGCTAATTTAAATTTGCATAAAAATTATTTTTAAATAATGTTTTTGATATGTTTTTGATGTCTAAATTATTAGACATCAAAAACTTTTATTTGGATATTATTATGTTGCTATTAAATCTTGTGATCAAATTAAACTTTCTTATTAAATTACGATTGATTGAGAAGATTTAAGACTCTAAAAAAGGCGACTTCGCGGGTCTTAATGATCTTGAAAAAAACGGAGATTAAAGAGAACCTTTGAGGTTTCTCGTTTGAAAATTATTGAATTCTTTGAATTTTTATATCCAAAAATTAAGATTCCTAAATTATTTGTTCAATTAACAAATTTTTAGAGACAAAATTCAAAGACAAAATTCAATGCTTAATGTCTTTTCTTATCATTTCTAGCTAATTTAAAATTGCATACAAATTATTTTTAAATAATGTTTGATCTCTAAATTATTATATATTTTTATTTAGTTATTATATTGCTTTTAATCTTGTGATCAAATTAAACTTTTTTATTAAATTTTAATCGGTCTGATTAAATTTATTTTCCTTTTTATTAAATATTTAGAGAATTTCTGAAAGTATCCCTGTCTCTTTTTTAGTAAAATATGAAATTAAAGAGGTGATAAAATGATAAAAAATCACGCTAAAAATTCAAAATTTTTAAATTGTTTAAATTAAAAATTAAATTTCCTAGAACCTTAGCAAAAATCTTGAATTATTCAATTTAAATCCAAAAAAAGACAAACCTATACTTTCAAATCGTAAGATTCTTCGAGCCTAGAACCTTTCTGTGAATTTATAATTTCTAATAATCCCCAAATTTTCAACCCCTAATACTTGAATCTCTTTTCATTGAATCACTTTCGCCTAAATTATATAAACTTCAACTTTTCGCACGAGGCCTCCCCAATCTCGTTCTTTCCCCCACGGATTTATTATTTCCAATCCTCGCAGGCAACACCAGGACTCTGCTGTCCACCACCGCGAGAGCGACGCCATTGCGACGCGCGGCGACGATGAGGGCGCACAACGGAGCCACGGGGACGACGAGCCTCACCCTGAAGCCGAACAATCCGTCGTCGCCGAATCTGCTGAGGTACACGGGCGGCCAGGTGCGTAGCCATCACTCGCGCAACAGCAGCGTCGTGTCGCGCAACAGCTCCCGTCACGGCAGGATCATCCGACTGGAGCAGAAGGCGACCAAGGTGCTGGGCGTGGTGTTCTTCACCTTCGTGATCCTGTGGGCGCCGTTCTTCGTGCTGAACCTGGTGCCGGCCGTGTGTCCGGACTGCGAGCACCGGATCGACCGCAAGATCTTCGACCTGGTCACCTGGCTCGGCTACGCCAGCTCCATGGTCAACCCCATCTTCTACACCATCTTCAACAAGGTGTTCCGCCAGGCCTTCAAGAAGGTGCTGCTCTGCAGGTATCGCAATCAGGCGTGGCGGCCGACCAGGTAGGCCCTGAGCCCCGGGAGACCGGGGATCGCCATCAGCAAGGTATAAGGGAAGCCGGAAATGGATGAGATTGAGCCTCGTCCGAGGTCGACGAGGGACACCCGGCGGAATAAATACAGCTGAACTCGAATGGTGCTATTCTACTCGCGCGATTGGCTCGTTTCTGAGGACGTTCTTGGGACGAGCGTCCTCCGAATAGCTCGAACTATCGGACTGTCGCCGATATTGTTGACGAATTAAGAGGTCTCCTCCATCGCGAATCTTTCTGTTAGCGACTCCCGTTAATGTTTCCGTATTCGATAATAATTTCTCGAAGCTAAGAATATTTTTTTAAATCTTCCCAGCGGCTCCTATTCATATCGATTACATATCAATACGCAATAATGTGTAATATATGATGCCTATTTTAATAGTTGTATATTTAAAAATAATTCGTACATCCTAAAGCGTATCTTGTATTATGTAATTCATTTTTTTTTTTTTATTAAGTTTACATCTTTAATAGGAATTATAATATCGAAACCTATTTCTCTCTACGTGCTTTGCATAATTTCATATTTAATAATAATTCCTCTATTTTAATCATCCAAAATTTAATTATTATTATTGAGTTTCGTCTTCCCCGCGATTTCGATAATGAATTTTTAAATAATATTTCATTTTGATGAAACCTCGAGTTTTTTTCTCTTCACTTTTCAATTCTCTTCTCGATAATTGATTTCATCATAAACGATTTTTCCTACAAATGTAGTGCGATATTTTTCGAGCATTTTATGCATCTAGAGGGATCTGAATATCTGATAGCCTAATCGCGCGAGAACTCGAAACGCGAGCGAACAATCTGACTAGTAGCCTAATAAGGAAACTGTAACCTAGTACCTCCAAGCACGCTTCGTGTAACCGCAAAATCACTCGATAAACTATCGCCGACTAATTAAATTCTCGATTGAGTTTCCCTAATTAAATCCCGCACGGAATATCGAGGAGTTTGTATGTAAAAAGAAGGAAAAAAAAACGGAACAGCGTGCATTTAATTATAATAATTACGATTAAAAGCGTAGGATAGATGTGCGTGGGTGTGCGTATGTCTGTGTGCGTGTGTAAATATATATAAGCTGTTATCATAAATGAAAGAAATGGTGCTCATGTGAAAATAATAATGTGTCAAGACATGAAGAAATATTTCCGATTATCGAAATAAGAGAAGAAAGAGTGATATATATATGGAAAGGAACCCGTTAATGGCGTTACTATAGCGTTTATCGATGTATACGAGGGTGAAAAATATCCCGGAGATAAAAAGGCGAAAGGAAAATCCTTCTGTTGTTCCTGGCATGTAAACTCGCCGCGCAATAATTAAAGAGATACGACAAGCTTCTTCTCACCATCCTCCAATTATTTCAACAGAAACGCGACTATGGCGTCTGACTACCTCCCTGCTTTTTGTTGAGCGACAAAATCTTAAGAAAAATCTCCAGAAGAAAATCCAGAATTTCCAGATATATTTTAGATATGCAATTTTTTTATTATATTTTTGTATTTTGTATTTTATATTTATATTTTATATTTTAATTAATTTTAGATTTTACATTTTACAATTCTAGTTTCTGCTTTCAACCACAATGTACGCACTGACATTGCGATTCGATGTCTCGGGGCGATATCCGGCGTTTTTGCAAGCAATCTTAAGGGTAGGTTTCATTGGAAAACTTTAAAAAGACGACAGATGAAATTCAAAAATGACGAATCGGGGTGTCTTCGCTTTTATTCGCGCGACGCGGGAGAATAAATGTCAGGGGAAAATCTACCCTAACGAAACGATCTTGTGGTTCGCGAAAATAAAAAGCCGATCGCGCGGACCAAATCGAATTTGCGCAGACGCGAAACACGTGTTTCGTATCGAACCGACACAGGTGGTGAACCAGTGAATACGGATACGGATGACGGATACACCAACACACAACAATGACGAGGGTGAGGATTCCCCTCCCCCCCCCCTGCTGCCCGTCCTCCCGGTCGCCCAATCAGAAAATCAATTGTGTACATCGCCGCCGCGTTAATCGTCCGATCGACCGACCGTTCATCGTCGTCGCGCTAATTATTTAGTTTTCCATCCGTTGTTCGCGGCCTGTCCCGACGTTGACCCCGACACCGGGACCAGTTTAAACGAGAGTCCGCCAACGAGACGACTGAATTTCGCCGGGTCAATTGTTGTCCCCCTCCCCCCCTTTTCCCTTCCCTTCCCTTCCCCTCTTCCGCCCCCGGAAAAGAGTTGACCGACGCAACGTCATCGATTTCGATGATCGTTTCCCGAGTCAAATTGGCGATTTGTAACAATATTATCGAATGATGTTTCGCGGCGCGAAGGGAATTTTTTAAGGGTGAAACACGAGCGCGTGTAAAGTATATCTCCAATATTTATTTTTTTCTTTTTAAATTCGCTTCCCCCTTTATTTATTTTAATTTGGACGAATAATTTTGAGGACAAATATTTTCAACGCGAGAGATAATTTTTCGTCGGTCGAGTTAAATCTCCCGATAATTATTATTAGAATCGGAACGTCAAGCGACTTGTTAATGCCAATGTGGAATATATCGTTGTCGCTGGGAAGCGAGCTCAGAAATCGATCGAGATTAATTGACCTCGCGATATCCGGAGTTTCGAAACTCGACGAGATCTTCGCTATCCGATGTTGTCTGCAGCCGGAACGGCATTAATTATGCTCACTCGTTAACGCGCTGCACAAGTTACGCCCTTCGATAAGACTCGCGAGGCATTCGTTCCCAAAGATGCGACCCCGGAAACTTAATTATCAAGATCTCGTTAATGTGAAAAATTCAAATCGAGGTGACCCAGATAAATAATTTGAGAAAATAATTTGAGAAAAAAAATCCTAAATAAATAATTATATAGCTGTTATTTGGCGTTTGCTGAGTCAACTTGACATGACGCAAAATAAAAATGCGACGGAAAAATTCACTCCCGGTGACTTCGCACGTAAATGTGAAGTGGAGAGATAAATAAATAATCCCTGCATTCAAGATCGAAAAAAGTACGTCGTTTAGGTTCGCTGTTTGATATGCGAGATGTAACCTTCCGATATTATTCATACGTTACACTTTGCTACATCGCCGCCATTTCTCCAGCGAGCACTTACTTGTAGCAAGATCCACCGCGAAATTGGCAATCTGTACAATTAGTCTGCGTCTCCCGACGACGGGAAAGACTAATCGTCGCAAGCCCCTGTGGGCTGAATTCCCCATTAACCCTTAAACGGCACTCGAAGCTCCCACTTATTTCCGGTGGAAATCGATCATGAAGAAATAGTGGATCGAGAGCGAGAAATTCAGTTAATTGTTATAAGATTGCATAATTGAGTGCTTTCCAACATCGATGAGCGAAATAATATATCGACAAAAATTCAAGGGGAAAAAATGTAATTAATAACGTAAGAAAAAGTCGATTAAATTTACTTCTTTCTGATCATTTTTTTTGCAAACGTTACTCCTGCTTGTGCTAATCATAATTATCGAAGAACATTTTTTTCCCGTTTCTAGTAAACATAAATAAATAAATAAATAATTAAATAATTAAATAAATAAATAAATAAATAAATAAATAAATAAATAATTAAATAAATAAATAAATAAATAAATAAATAAATAAATAAATAAATAAATAAATAAATAATTAAATAAAAAATAAATAAATTTCTCGCAGACATCAGATGAAGAAAAGAAGAGAAAGAGAGCTGATATCACGCCGATGAAAAAGCCGAGTTCGAATAACAGAGAACCGCGTCGAGTGTTTCGCAAACAGCGAACAAGACAAGTCGAGCACATGGGAGATAGTACAAAGAGCGAGAGCCGAACGTTCGATTTGACGTTAATTAAATTCTCGATAGACTCTAGACAGACAGAAGAGAGTCCGAGCAGTCTCTCGAAAAGAATACCAAGGCCGATCTTTATCCCGGAATTTCGAGAGAGAGAGAGAGAGAGAGAGACACAGAGATATGCAAGTGTGACGTTTTGCGTTTTGCGGTTGCACGCATCCCGGTGCATCCCGATGCACCTGGCCTGCGAAACACGTTTCGCAGACCGCGACGCATCAGACACATGTGTACATACGTGACACGCACGATATATGGGGCAATTATAATCGCCGAGCGGTGTTGAAGGGATTGAATCGATTTGTCGCATGAAATCGACCAATTGATTGTTGAGAGTGTCTCGTTTCCCTTATCATAAAAATCGACGGATAAGCGGATAAATTGGATTCGCCGGCCTTTTTAACACGGTGAAAGAGGCCCCGGGGGATTTAAAGCGGAGCTTTTCTCTCAAAGCGGCTTCGAAATTGAGTCGATATCGAATTAAACGTTAAAAGCCTCGAGACATAAATCGCGGCGATTCCTCTTTCCCCCTTCGAATCAGTTGTAGTTACACGTAAGAGACGCAAACTGATGCTCGCAACTGCAGCTGCGGGGAGAAACTGCAATAACTTAGCATCGCGGACAGTGACATAACTGCCTTCGTACTCGTTAATCTGCCGTAAGAAAATGAGGCGGCAAACTTAGAGGCAGCCCGAAGGTGGAAGGAAGCGGGGGGATGAGGTGCGCGAAGCGAAGGGAAAGGTAAAGAGAGGGATGGGGGAAGGAACGGAAAATGTTTTCCCGGCGCTCTCTCGCGCACGATAAACTCATTTTAATTAACGAGCGGATCCGCGTTAAAATACGATGTATTAAAGCGCATTATTTATGGTAGCCGAGATGCAGCGGCGGCGAAAATAAATGTAACAAACCCCGGCGCCCGGAAGTCTCCCGGGAAAAGTTACTAAATCCTATTTTGCAGATTTCTCAGCCATTCTCTAAACCCATACAACCATTGTTGTTACATTGCAGCAATATTGCGATGTTGCTGTGTTGTTACATTGCAGCAATATTGCGGCAATATAGCGATATTGCTGTGTTGTTATTACAACAATATTGCGGCAATATTGCTAATGTTGCTGTGTTATTACATTGCAGCAATATTGCGGCAATATAGCGATATTGCTGTGTTGTTATTATAACAATATTGCGACAATATTGCAATGTTGCTGCAATATCGCTGCAATGTAACAACAATAATCTATGCTATATGGGAATATCTCAA